GACTAGGATAATTTTCAAGCACTGGCAGTTTGTCAGTTACCAAAACAGCTCAAGCATCTCGCCTTTGTACTTCTGTCAGGCTTCATCTCTCAGGGAATGACTTCTCTTCTGTTGACTTCAGCTGTTCGTTTAACAATTTGCATTTTCTTGCTTATTCGTAACATAGATTTCTTCCGTGGGGTATAACTCAACCTGGAAGTAGTAGCAAGCTTACATCTTGAGGGATCGCCAGAAAAGTACGAAAGGGTCGTCCAGTCATGCATTCTTTGATTGCCTTTCTTGAAGTCTGTCCGGGGCCTTAGGTAACCGGCATAAACAATCATTTTGAACTTGAGTGAAGAGCTGGCTGTCAAATATTTGTGGCTTTTATTATGAAGTGAGCGAAACCTCTGCATTCGCTGCTTTTCAGGAAACTGGACTTTTGAGCAAGAATTCCTGAAAATGTAAAGCTGGGAGGTCACGGTTTTTTTTGAAGCGTATGCATTTTTGAATTTTTTGAATAATTTGTAATAGCATCACATAATCAGAACGAGATTGATGTGACGTACATTCTCACTAATACCACAAATCAATGGGGCCTTCAGATTTCTGAGAAGATACACCAGATACCTGCTTCGGTTTTTTATGTCATCTTTCAGGACATGACGGCTATTCTCCTCCTTCCTCCCTTGCACACCACAATCAAAATAGAGCAAATTTTCATTCAATTAAGTATGAATTTACCAAAATTCCTTCTTTTTGGAAAAAATAGTTATATTTGAGTATACAAAAAGATTGGGAAAGAAATATGTCATAGTTGACAATTTCGGCATCTTACGGTTGCTTACTGAAATATAGTTGATTCGTTGACCGCACGAACTGGACAAAACTGCGGAGCACGCACTGCGGGGTAAAACGCTTGTCCCAGTACAAATTCGCTATTGTACAAGCGTGCTCTCGCGACAATTCAGCCGCGCCGCGCGTGGTCCGCAGCGTTTAAGCAGTCCGTGCGGTCAACGACTCGACGATACTCTGTGATAATGTAGATCTTTATAAGTCTTCCAGACTTTAAGCTGCGCATTTGAAATGGTTGTTGCATTCTAGATGGTATAGAAATTCTCTTAATCTTTATGCTAAACATTTTTCGGTGTGAGAAGTTTTATGCAGCAGACGTCCCACTTTGTAATACATTTTATGGGTCGCACACCCTCACCCACTTCTTCAAAACAACTATACTAGTGCTCCTCTATCATAGTCCTCATAAATCACTGTTGTAATGTTTTCACACATCCCAAGGCGGTTGACTGAATAAAAACAAACAATATTTCATGCTCTCAACAACATAGACGTCCTTAATGTGCTAGCGGCTCCACTTTTTCGCTGGGTCCTCTGGGAATATGTGCAAGCACAAACTTCGGTCCAAATCTTGCGCTGTAAGTGTATTGGGTACGATGAGCGATGAGCATTTTTCGCAGCTCCTATGTGGAGACTTTAGGGACAATGTGTGCGACGGCCGAACCTTTTTTAGCGAACACATCTTGAAGAAGTGAGCCAAGATGTTATTCAAAGCATATCTTATTTATGCTAAATAAACCAAAACTCAAAGAAAATCTCAAGATTGCGACATCCATCGGCCTTGTTTTTTTGTCTACGGTTTTATATTTGTCGGCTCTCCACAAAAATCCCCATTATGTCCAGGCTTTTTTTATTCAAATTCCGCTTTGTGCCCTCCCCTGGATTCGTAATTTTACCGGATCGTAATATAATCATTGTTTACTGCACTAACCTACAAGGGAAGAAGGTAGAAGAAGTCCTTTGTTGTGTAAGAAACTGGGTGAAAAAGGGGAAACTGTGATTTGCAGCCGAAAGCAGTAATTCGCTAGGAATAAACTTTCAGTACTGGTTCAAGAGCATTTCGGTATTTTTCTTAGTTCACCAACAACTTTTTATCACCGAAAAAGTATGCTGGTATTGTTGGAATGCCTGTGGGGAGCCAAGTACTAAATGGTAAAATCGTTGTTGGATGAAATGTTGCTGAGGAAAGTATGAACCTTCAAAAAACGGGGAAAATCTATAGGGTTGACGATGGGTCATGTTTGCTCAAATCTATGCCCGTTACAGAACACTCTAGCAATTTTTCGGCCACTGCTCACTCTCAAAGGAGCCATTTTCCACCGCCATTGGGCCTAATGTGAGAGCTTCAAAGCGCAGCTACTAGTTGGGAATGAACTACCACTACTTAGATAACATCGGTAGTTAATCGTGGTCGGAGTTAGACTACTCTAGAGATTTTAAATCACGAACTGACTTAACGCATGGGTAAAAACATACTCAGCGGGTGGTCTCCATCTGGTAATTCATCATTATTGAGAGTACTTGACAGACAGCTGCCACATGTGTACTTACTAGACTTTCATTCTATATCTTGCCGCCGTCTCAGTTCTTGTTTAGGCAATTTCCTCCTTCGCCTCATTTCCTCTCGTTTTTCTGTTCCTCATCTGCATATCTTGCATGGAGTGCATTTGCTCACGGAAGTTATCTATGCCATTAGCTAATTATGTCGTTAGTAACATCTTCAGGCTTACCTAGAATATCATGAAAAGGAACGTGAGATTTTGTTTAGAAACCTTTGAAGTACGTACATGTTCATTCATCCTCCGAACGTCTGTTGCAAAACAAGAAATTTAAGATAGAGCAGCACCTTTCCAGATGGATAAACGGTCATGGCTTTTTTCTAGCCCGTTCCAAAAGAAATTCGATGCTTTCCAACGTTTTTGAGGTCTTTACAGAATTTTAAGAAAAAGAGGCAGAACTGCCACACGCTCGTAAATTTTTTACACAGGAGTTAGATGCCAAAAAATGCCAAAAAATTAATCACAATACCACTATTAGCAATTAAATAAGTCTCATTATTAAATCTTAAATAGCCCCCTCCCCTGAATAAACAGATGAGTGAATTTTAATCGCATGATTAATGTTGTTTCTACCGTATCGCTAGCTTTGGAAGATAAACATGAATGATTCACAGATCCGTGGAGAATCCTTAAATGCTCTGCTTATAGTCTGAGCCCTTCTATATCTTTTAATGATACAAAAAACAACGTGGGACTTACTCCATTCCTCAAGCTGCCAGTCATACTCCTTGGATCTAATGAATTTTTCGCGTTTTTATCGATCAAGCAATGTTCAGCTATGCTGGAGTCATTTCATTTTTTCCTCTAAATAAATTAAAATGCTATGGCTTACCTTGCAGTGTAACCATCCTTTCAAATAAGGTGTAACTTGTTAGAATTTTTTTTCTCCCAAAAGACTAACAAATTTGGCTTCTACATTCAAGGCTTTGCGATCTATGGAAAGAGAATTTCTTATGTAAATAAGCTGGTGCCTGAATTTTGCTAATTTCTGCTACTTGCAGCAAGATTCGCTCCCACGATACTGAATCGCCAGTCAAGACACCAACATGTCTCTTGAGAAGTCTGATCAGAATGTCTACAAAACTCTCTGGAGGCGTAATTCGATTATAATCCTTCTTTTGATTCTCTCGGGGTTTACGAGACCATTTTCTGTATCACTTGCTTTTCTCAACTTTTCCTTACTGTTCTTCCTTTCTAAAAAAAAAACAAATCATCCAACGCATCTAGCACACCTTCGGACCATAAAAGCAGCGTCCGGACGATTTGGACATTATAGGATACTATCATAACCTAGTATTAGGGCCTCGATCTAGAACTATCGCAGAAGTCCGACTTTTTTAGATCCCCTGTAAAAGGAGAAAATCGGCGCAAACGCCGAGCCTCGAAGACCACGCCCATTCCCTCGAACGGCCCGCCCTCTTTAACGAGCCTCCAGTCCTTCACGTGTTTTAACGCGGCAAACGCAATCAAATACATAGTGTCTACCTGTTAATGCTTGCTTTCGACAAGAATAGCGTAGCAGACTCGTACACGGTTCTCATAAGATTGTCTCAAAAATGGGGTTTTCTCAAAAATGAAGTCCAGATTCTGCCTAGACGCTGCCTCAAATCGAAATCTATTAGATGTATCGATGATTACTGTGGTTACAACTCATCCAGCAGGAGTCTTCCCTTTTCCCTTTCGAGAACCAATCGCGTTATTTTGAGGAAAGAATCTTGCAGACGTTATCAAATTTTTCACCTATACAGCTATTTTTTGACACTTTCCACTATATTTTACTGCATTAACCAGCAATTCCAGTGATTTACATCATATTCTATTTTAGAGCTCTGCTTCTCGCTGTATGTTTTTGTTTCGTAAAATCATTTGCGCTGTCATCTGCAGGCGTACACGAACTTTTCAGTACTCTGCGTTGATACCACTGCT